CAGCAGGAACTGCAGAAATGGCTGGAATGGGCTTTCTGTCCTCTACATCAGTTTCACCACTTAATACAGCTGTATGAGTTTTAGTGATCTCCATATCTTCAGCCGAAGTAAAAACAACTGTTTTGCTCTCTGAAGCAGCCTCCTGTCCAACCTGCTTGGGCAGGTTTAATCTATCCTCACACAAGACCCTTTCAATACTTTCATCAACAGAGTGAGACTCGGTCATTTCCATGTCAGCCTGGTAACTCGTAAACAGAATTGTGGAATTTAAAGGAACGAACTGATTGGGTTGCCTGCCTTGCAGAGCATTTTCTTCCAAAGTTACATTATGGGGTCTAGTGATTTCCATATCATCCACAGCAAACATGGTCGCTTCGCTATTTGAAAGTGCTTGCTGTCCAACCTCCTTATCCAAGTTCAGTTTATCATCACGTACTACTTTTACAGTAATTTTATCAGCAGAGCAAGACTTGGTAATGTCCTTGTCATCCTGGGTACTTGTGAACGTAACTGTTTTAACAGGATGAGCTGAAGAGACAGAATGAAGCCCTCCCTCATTTTGCGAGACAATTTCATGGCCTATCGCAGCTGTATGGCTCTCTGTGATCTCCATATCATTATTCTCATCACTCAGTGAAAATAAAACAGTCTTTTCCCCTGTTGTTCCTTTCAAGCTTTTCCTTCCAGTCCTTTTAGCTGTGTTAAGCACGCCTTGAGATGCAGCCTTTTCCATAGATTTATCAATTGCAACAGTATCGAGTCTACTTATTTCCATGTCATCATTGTAGGTAAAAACACAAGTTTTATCTCCAGAAATTAAGGATATGTCATCATTTGAACTTTTATGCTGCAGAATTACTTTGTTGTCTGCTGAAACTGTATGACTTCTGGTGATGTCCATATCAGCATCTTCTGAAAATATAGTAGTTTTTTCACCTGCAAAAGGTAAATGTTTTAAACCAGTCATGGTTAACATTTTCTTGCCAGATACCAAGGAGTACACATCGCACGCAGGCTGCTTCTGACTATTTATTGTCATCGTGACCCCTTTTTTTAAGGACACTGTTTTATTTTCTTCTGGAACAAGGTATCCAGGTACTGCTTTTCTTTCCGACAGAACAGGATTGATGTTGTCATCAGGAACCATTACTGCACAGTTACCAGTCAAGTCCATGTTTTCACCAGAGAGAAACACAACTGACTTTTCTAAAAAGGAAGGCAATTGGGAACTTCCCTGATGTGGCTCAGACGTATTGGCTAGTAATGGCTCTTCAGCACCCCTCAAGTGCAGGCCATCAACTGAGCGAGGATTTTTGAAATCCTCTTCTGAAGACACTGTTTTACAAATTGAAATATCTCTCTCGGAATCTACTCGAGTTGACAATACTTTGTTAGCTACCTTTACAGTATGGGTTTTCTCTTGCCTGTCAGAGTTTTGGCAATCTGCATTTATTCCTAATATTTTTCCAAGCTGTTCATTTCCTTTCATCCCAGAGGGAGCAGGATCATTACTGGAAATAAAAGAACCATTTGGAGCCAAAGGAGTAACAGTTTGCTTATTTATGTTCGTTCCCAATTCTCCGCATTCTATCACTGCATCCTGACTCTTGATATCTACACCAGAATTACCAGAAAGCTGGAAGACCTGATTTTGCAGCTGCTTGGATATCACATTATTTTGATTACAGTTATTCTCATGTTCTTGTACTGTATTAATAGGAGCAACATCAAAGGCAGCAGGATGAGTTTTGGTTATGTCCATGTTTTGATCATCTGAAAACAAGCCCATTTTGTCATTTCTGCAGGAAACTGAAGCATTTGGAAGGCTTTTTTCCAAAGGTTGAGATATAACAACTTTTTGACTTTGCAAAGACGTGAATGCACAGGTGTCAGTGACAACGTTCTCAGGGACTTCTCTCTTTTGCTCTTGTAATGAACACATGCTCTTTGCACAGGAACTTGGACCACTTGCCTGAAAGTTTGTTTTTCCAAGCTTCTTATCAACCATCATCATCTCAAGATCTTTAGTATTCATTTCTATAGCCTGACTTCTTTTAATATTCCCATCAATACTGATCACCTCAAGATTTTCCTTGTCCATATCTAAAGAATTTGCACTTTCACTGACATTTTTGTTCCAGTTCTTTCTTGGAATCATTTTACAATGCATTTGTTTTGTTTCTGCAGTTATCCCATTGCTTTGATCATCAATGACAACAGCATGGCATTTAGTTATTTCCATTTCTTCCTGATCATTTAAATTGGGAGATGCAGATCTGTTATCAAGAAGATGAGGTTTGCAGGTGACAGAAGTGAACACTCCATCAGGAGATGCATTTTCAACATTCTTTCCATCATCCTTGACAACACAGGCTTTAGTCAAGTCCATATCTTCTCCTGAGAATATTACTGTCTTCTCACCTGGCAGAGAAACAAGTTGAGAGTTTGCTAGTCTGTGCTGAAGTCCACTCTTAGAAACACCAGTAGACACTGAATTTGTACATGAACCAAAACCAACGTTCACTGAAGCAGTCCCGAGATCTTGGGTTGCTTTTTCAGTTTGTTCACCTGAGCCTGAAGGTTGTTCAAATGCACCATTTTTATATGGCACAGAAGCTCGATTATCTGAAGATGTTAGACTCTTTGTAATGTCCTTATCACCATGTGCTGGACGTCTGTTTTCTGCTAGCGAAGAGTTTATATTAACTGGCTTTTCAAAAGTTTTATAATGCGAACTGTTCATTTCTTTGGTACTGTCATTATAGATTACATCTGTATAATTCCCAGTAATTTCCATGTCATCACATTTAGAAAAAACAACAGTTTTATCACCTCGGAAGACAGTCTCAGAAGAAATGGATCCTGGGATGGAAGACATTGTTCTGGCCTCTTGTTTAACAGTTCGCAGCACTGTAGGATCTTGTCGGTCTTCAACATTTACTACTTTTTTGCCTGTCAATTAAGTGCTTATTAGATGCTCTCTTCAATACAGAATTATCTAACTCTGTGGCTGGGAAATCCTTTTTGAAGTTTAGACTTTGATTCCCGACACTGGAGAAGGGGAAAGACATTTTTGCAGTGTGACTAGTTGTCATATCCATTCCATCATCTACGAATGCCTCAGTAACATCCGCACACGGTAGTTGCTCTGGTGGAGCTTCACAAATACCAGAAAACATAGCTTTAACATCGGACGTCTGGCATTTTGTCATTTCCATTCCATCATCTTGCCCTCTAAAGACTTTTGTTACATTGCAGGTGTCCAGTGCTTCATGGGAACAAAATTCCACTGATGATCGTGCCATGTCATCTGAGACTTGTGAAGGGACAAAAAAAACATTCTCTTTTTCAGGTCCCTCAATAGGATTGAGTGTCTTTTCGTTTGATTTCAAGCTCATCAAAAATTCATTGAAATTTATTTTTTTTACAGTAGTAGCATCTTTCTCCTGTTCAAAAGATGGGCACGAATGGTTTGTAGGGTCAGAGAAAAAATGAAATTCTTTGCTCGTTTCTGCCTTTTCATCGTTAGAGCTTAACCCAGCCAGAAATGACGTGATATCTATTTTCTCAGTTTTGTCAGCTTGATTGTTTTTCAGGTTACGTGTAATCATTGCAGTGTGACTAGCTGTCATATCCATTTCATTTTCAGATGAAAAGATGAGGGTGGTGTCATGCCTATTTGTTCTTAGAATGGCATTGTCTGCATCATGCCACTAACAAAAAAAAAAGGCAAGAAATTACAGTTACTGACACTTAAAACAAATGATACAATGGCTTATCCTATTTAAAACAAAAGTCAACTGATGCAGTCCTAAGGTTATAGCTCTATTTTTACATCTTTTTCTTTGGAAAAAAAAAAAAATTTTGGTCCTCCTTGATAAGCAATAACACATTCAAGGAAAGCACAATGACTTAATTATTAGAGCATATCCTATTTAAATGTCTTTTTTTGAAACAGCATGTCTCGGTTTTACTGTTGGGCAAAGACTTCATATCTAGACATATCTTAATATGCATGGAACAATTACTGAGTCTTATGGATAAGATTTTAACTGCCTTTTTTTTTTTAACATTCGTTAACAAGAGCCAACATATGTTTTTAAGCCATATCTTTAAATTCAACATAAAAGTCAGAAGCAATTGCAGTAAGGGAGACTGTTTTGACAACTGCTTTGTTTAACACCACAGTGCCATAACATCATCACTGAAGTGTAACACAGTTCAGGATTTCTGTGCAATTGCACCTGTGATGGTCTTAGCCAAGCATTTTGTGTTTTATCACTTGATTCAACTGAAGAATTTCAGTTACCTTTTCATGCTAATCATTGCAAGTTTGTCTAAAGCTTTTTAACAGCAGGAACAGGGAGTACATTTGTGCATATCCATTCTACCCATAGAAGTAAAAATACACAAGCAGAGGGTAATACACAAGAAAAAATACATAACCAGACCTATCTGAAAAATAAGCTCCTTTGCATATTCTTAGATAAGAATGGAAAAGCATAGAGGTACTGAAAAATTAGCAAGCAATGTTAGAAGCAAGAGGTATCAGTACTGCAGTATAATGCCTATCAGATTAGGAAAATACTTCAAAATATGGAAGATTAGCTTTCAGAAGAATTTTATGTGAATACAAGGATTTATGTTTTAGGCAGCTGAGTTACATTTTTCACCTTTACTACACAAATTATTGAAATATATTTTGGACACTGATTTTTTTTCAGCAACAACAAAAAAAAAGCCTTCATATACCTCAGTCTGCTGCACCAATGCCTGGATAGGGGCATGAAGCAAAGTGTTCATCCCTGTTGAAAGAAAAGGAAATACTCCATTTGTTGTGCCATTTTCTTATTTTATCCACTGAGCTGAAGATCTATGCACTCGTTTTACAAACACCACTAAGTAAGTACAATTAAAACCAAATATATCCTGAAAAACATTTTCAGTACTCCTTCTAGCATGTGGAAGAGCTACCCATACTTCTACAACACAACGCTTGTAAACAGCTTCATGGGACAAGGCCCATTCACGCAATAGTCTGCTCAGTCAGGGAGATTGTTTTAGGCATGTTAAAATTATTCAAAGAGAATCAATAGTTTTGAGTAAAGACAGTAATTTTGCTACTAAATCTTTTTCCAAACTCACCAGTGATCTCACACGGAACAGCCTCGGGTTCTTCATTTCTACAAAAGGTGGGTTAGATAAACAGTTTGTTAGAAGATTTCAAAAGAGCAAGCTACAGCAATATACGGAAAAGGCAGAGAATTCTGTTGCATAGCTCACATGGGCCTGGGCAGCAGATACCAGCTACTACTTATATGTCTTCAAATATATTCTAACTTGAGTTGCAACCTTTTCCCATGAGATTCTCTCATCTTAGTATGCCACAAGCCATCGTTCAACACACAGGTGGCATTTTAATTCCTCAGTGAAAAATTAAAAAAAAAAAAAAAAAAAAGAGAGAAAAGATTAATTCTTTCTTTTGACTCAGACCTTCCACTTTCAGTTATTCCTTTCTCTTTGGGAAACTGAAGCCTGAAGTTAATTTCTCTGTAAAACAAAAAGCCCAATATAATGTCCAGCTCATGTCATTTTCTGTCTAACTTTTAATGCCTTCTGCTCTCCACTGTTTTATTGATTACTCTTTCAAGTTCAAGAAACCTTAGCTAAAGTACTGATTTTTATTTATACACATATATATGTGTGCATGTGTGCCCACATGTACACATACATGTATATATTACTATATTGGGTTCATGCCTTTAAAAGTAAGTTAACTTCAATTGTATATAAGCTGTTTCCTTGCTATATATTTTAAATGTAGGAAATTCCCTTTCGCACATAGAAATTGTCTAAATCTGTTTTTTTACTTATCAGGTAATTTTAATTTAAAAAACTCCATCATTGTGTTTTATTGACACAACAACTTTGAGGCCAAATTAACACTTTATCTACCTCTGAGGGAAAAAGTTATGGTAATAAATATGGAAGACTATGTCTATGAGATATGGAAACTGGTAGGTCTTTCCTGGAAAACATTCCCAAGCAATCAGCTTTGGAAGGAAGCAGTTTCAAGTCATAATTATTCAATTTTTCAGGAACCACTAACTTTTTGTGAGTGACCAAAACAGTTATATGCTTTTTTTGCTGCATCCCTTCTTTCACCAATCAATCAAGAGCACTGAGCCATTTTATGTCTAAGTAAATACGTATGCTGGATTTCTTTGATGAGTAATAGTTTGACGGTTGCATGTCATGTGAAGAAATGTTTATGCAGGACAGAACTCTATAGTCATGGGAATTTTTGTCGAACTTACTGATTGAGCAGGACATCATTCCTCGTATCTGCTGCACACTCTAAAAATAATAGGGAAATTAGGCATTACAAACCATTCAGAGACAAGAGTAACCTGCACAGAAAAGAACATTCTGAAGTTCTCACTCATGGTGTGCCTTCCTATCCTGACAAAATCCCAGAGAAATGAAGTACTTGAAAATGCATTAGCTTTCCAGATCTTCCTAGGTAACCTTTGACAGAGTGAATATGACATTCTGCTCAAGCTTCTTTTGATCTAAATCCCCAAGGCAGATTTTGTTCTAGGTGCATGTTGTCTAAGAAAAGAATTCCTTTTCTGAGCTACAAGGTAATGGGTTTTTAGACAGTTTGTGATGAACAGCTGACAATATTGTTCTTTACTTGTGACTGACAGGCCCAACTTCTTAAATTCAGGCTAAAATCTTGGTGCTAATAGTCTGTGAATCCTATCAGGAGGAGAGAAAGGAGTTTTACCTGTACTTTCTCCCTCTGCCGTGTTATTCTTAAGATCTCGCTGGAAGACTCTGCAGCTAAGAAAAAAAACAACACAAAATAACCCAGATTTTTCAAAAACACCAGACCACCTGTTTTGAAGCAAAGAAGAAAAAAAGTAAATAAATAAATCAGCCCTAATTTCAATCTTTTTCACATGGTATGTTTTGAAATGAGATATCAAAAGCCAGAAGCTTACTGAACCCAACCATATCTTCCAGCAGGAAGATGCCATTTTCATACTTAAGATGGAAATCACTAAAAAATTTAATGGGAAACAAAAATTCCTGATTATATTAAACTCACTGAACCGTTTTTTTTTTTTCTAGCTAGGAAGAGAAGATGTATAATGGCTCTCTTAGGGCTCAAAATCAACTCAACACAACAATAGTCATCAGTTTGCCTTCACTCACAAACATGTAAACAGCAATTTTAGGGGGTACCGGATTATTATCTATAGCCTGCGGCATTTTATGATTAAATAAAGGATGTAGATCTGCATCCTTCAGATCAAACTTACTTTATGGTATTCGCAAAGCTGACACGGCGAGAGTTTTTCCTACGTTTTTCTATATTGATATCCTGACAATAAAGAACACAACATTTTGATATAGAGAGTTCTTATCCCATAAGCCACAGCAAGCATAGCTTTTCATGAAACACAAACCCAAAAAGCCACACCCCCCTCAAAATAATAATCTATGACCCAACAAGTACAACAGAGATTTACCAACATCCTTAAAATACTCTATAGTTCTCCAACTTCTCCTGACATAAAGACATCTATCTCATAAGAAGTAGGATCTAAACATCACTTTGTGAGAACCACCTCTTGTGTTTCAAACACAAGCAGAATACCAGTTATAAGGATTTTTGTCTGACATGTTGTCTGGGATACTAGAGAAAATATATGTAGTTGCTTAGCAAGAGAGTTGCAGGATCTTTTTTTTCTTTAGTTTTCCATTACAAGAACTGGAGAAAAAATAGTCATAATGGTTTGTCTTTATGGGAGACAGGGAAAGATTCATGAAAGAATCAAAGCCACCATTTCCTATAGAAATGTTTAAATGGTGTCACTGACTATGTGATCATACTAGTGCAATGTTACAAGGCATGTAACGACGCAATATTACAACAGTGGAAAGCTAATTCATCATACTGCTGCTGTGCGGTTGCCTGCAATAAGTGTTCCTAAGTAAATAGCCCAGTCTCAGGACAGTGGAACACTCGCTGTTAACAGAAAGTATTAACATGCCAGGCACTACCCATCATATGCACATGACTAAGAAAGCTTGTAAAATACCTAAATTTTTTAAAAAAATCATGTCAGTAACACAACCAATTATGAATGATGCCACACTACTGAATGTGATAGTCTCATATTGCTCATTAGCAGCACTGTCCATCATAGTTAACACGCACTAAAGTTTAAAT